TGAATCGAGGATAGTTGAAAGGATTTTTTATTAAAAATCTTTTTTGAAAATATTTATATTAATAATCTAGAAGTAATACGCAAATCCTCATAAGAGCATATATTCCTCAACTATTTGAAAATAATAGTATTTCTTTTGAAATTAGTTTCAAAAATTGAGCAAATAACAAGTCAAAGCCATATCTATTATGTATCCCTCAAGTTGTGGACAAAAGCCAAACTAACAAACTTTGTTACACTCTCACACTTCATAAACTCAAACCTTAAGAGCATCTTCATTGGGGTGTTCTCAATTGTGTTTTTAAAATATAAAATTATTAAAACACACACTCTTTTTTCTTTTTACTCAACTTTATACCTTTTCTTTCATATTTTTACTCAACTTTTATTAATTTTATATTTAAACACTCTCACTTCATTTTGAGAACACTATCTAAAAATACTACTTTAAGAACACTCTCTTTTCCTTTTACTCAACTTTTATTAATTTTATATTTAAACACACCCACTATCTTCTCTCTTTACTCAAATTTTATTAATTTAATATTCAATACACCCCACAAAAACACTCTTTTTCTTCCTTTTACTCAAATTTTAATAATTTTATATTTTAAGAACACACTTGAGAGCACCCCAATGTACATGCTCTAAGCAACATAATCCTCTTTTCTTCTTGGCACTAATCCAAAATTGACACAACAAATGGGTTCTTCAAAGATCGTTCTCCTTTCGATCCTTCATATCGGTTTTCGTGTTTTTACGTGTGTCATGCACTGAATTTGAAGCTGGAGGAGCAAATGGTTGGATCATACCAAATTCTAGTAACCATGAAGATGTGTTTGACCAATGGGCTTCCAAGAACCGGTTTAAAATTGGCGATACAATCCGTAAGAAATACGTTTAATTTATTTATCAATTATTATAATCACTGTAAATGCAGAATTTTAATTTTAATTCGATTTGGTGTAAGGTTTCAAGTACAAGAAAGACTCTGTTTTGGTGGTATCAGAAGAAGAGTACAAGAAATGTCAAACGACTAAACCGGAATTTTACTCGAACAAAGGTGGTGATACGGTTTTCAAATTGAACCGGCACGGTTTGTTCTATTTCATAAGTGGTGTCTCAGGACACTGTGAAAAGGGTCAGAAAATGATCATCAAAGTCATGGAGGTTGAATCTCCTCCGCCTTCTTCTTCTCTATCGGCTTCGACACACAAAAGTAACAATGCCGTGAAGAAAACCACTCGGTTCGTTGGTGCTGGTTTAGTTGCATTTTCGACTCTGGTTTTGACAGTTTTTAGTCTAGTTTAGTCTTGGGTTTAGAGGGTGGAAAACCATATGAACCGGTTATGACGGTTCAGCCGTGGATTTTGGTCTGGTTTAAGATTTTTTTGTAGTTGTTTTTGTTAAGGGTTTTCACTTTGGGCTGATAGGTTGATTTGATTATTTAGTTCCTGATTAGTGATTACTCTCCTTTGTTAGTAACAATTTCAAAATAAGTTATTGGTAAGTTTGATTTACAAAGATATTCTAAACATTTAGATTCTATTGGTATTAGTCTAAAGACTCTAAACAAGTCCAAATCAATGATAGATTCAAGCTCAAAAGATCTATTAAGATAGAAACTGAAATAGTTCATTGGACCTTAATTGTGCAAGAAAAGTTTTACGCATAAATAAAAAAAGCCAGTAGAGCAAAATCATATAGAGTTCTCTCCATTGACAAAACATAAACTTAGAATATAATCTTAGTAACCAAAAGAGTGTCCACACTCTTTCAAAGTGGCTTCTTACTATTGCACCTCACGAGAGTTATGCGCACTTTTTTTTGTTTCTCCTAGATTCACCATCATCATCTCTTTCTCGAAAACCTTTTTTCGGTCCCTCCAATAAATTTCTTTGCTCATCGTCTTTGCGAGATAACAACAACTCATCGATACGTGACATAGTATCTTTAACATCGAATCCTTTCTCCTCTAGAAAGACAAGTATCTCTTTGTGTTCACCTAGTTGGACTTGGCTTAAGGGAACGTGGTTATATACTTCATATGATATGGTGAAAAAACTTTTCATTAAAATTATTGCACATTTCTCGGCGAGGAAGTTGTCGTGTGTCCAATGACTCATACCGCTTCCACAAGGTTGAGGTTTTAGCAAAAGGTCAAACAATTTCCGAAACGGGCACTAGACCAAAACAAACAAAACAACAATAATGAAAATTGCTTCAGTAATAAGTTACTACTCTTATCATTCAAAAAGGTCCAATGAGTGGAGAGTTAAGACATATTATACCAGTCTCGTTTAGGTCTGAACTGTGTTCCTGTTCTTCTCTTTTCCTCTTACGAATCTGTGCATAAAAATGCTCGAAAGATTAATAATCAGTTAATCACCTTCTCTTGAGTTATTACAACCAAATCAAACTATATAAAATAAGAGTTAATAAAAGTTGTTACTCCATACATCAAGGCATTGTTGTAAATCAATCAAAGTTAAAATGATTCCCCCAAGCTACTGATTACAACCAAATCAAACTTATTACAACAATCTTGTAAATCAAGGCATTCTTGGAATTCACTTTAATGATACTCCATACATGCTTTCATTACCTTCTCTTGTGTTGAATCGTTTTCCAGACCAGAGAATGTTTCGATTTCACTTTGATCCTTCTCCATAGTCGTTTGAAGAGGAAACCCTAAAATTGATGAAGGCACCTACTCTTTTTTTTTTTTTTTCAATGATTTATTTTTGTTGGTTTGGATGATAAGTAGAGAATGAGGGAGATTCTATATATGATCTTGGAAGATTTCTAGGATATTTGCAAAAGATTATTCCCCACGAAATACCCCTAGAAGCCATCCTTAATCAAATTAGATCAATCTCCATTCAATACATAATCAATAACTACTTATTGCACTTTGCTTTTTTTTTTGGGGCAATTACAAAAATGCCACTTTTTGTGTGCACATTTGCAAGAATGCCACTTAGGGGTGCCCATTTGTAAAAATACCACTAATTATAGATTTATAAAGCCTATATCTTAAAATTCTAAACCCTAAAAAATGTTTTGACCCCTAAAACCCCATAAACCCTCATAACTAAACCCTAATAGAACATAATTAACCCAAACATAAATGATATAAAGAAAAAATAATTTTGAAAAAGTAGCATTTTTGTAAAGATTTCAAAAGTGTGGCATTTTTGTAAAGTGGCACTTGAAAAGTGGCATTTTTTGAAATTTCTCTTTTTTTTTTGTCCATTTTCA